CTTTGTGCTCAGCGTTGCTTTGGCTTTCCAAGGTCTTTTGTGATTCCATATATATTTAAATTTATTTTTTGTAATTTTTTGAAGTATGTCATGGGGATTTTAGTTGGGATTTCACTGAATGTATATATTGCTTTTGGTAGGATGGTCATTTTCACAATTTTAATTCTTCTAATCCATGAGCATGGGAGGTGCATCCATCTCCTGGTGTCTTCCTCAATCTCTTTCTTAAACAATTTGAAATTTTCATTGTAGAGATTGTTGGTGTCTTTGGTCAGATTTATTCAAAGAAATATTTTTGCAGCTATTGTGAATGGGAGCATTTCCCTGTATTCTTTCTCCAGTTGCTTGTTATTGGTATATAGAAAGGCTACTGATTTTTGTAGATTGATTTTGTAAAGTGCCACTATACTGAAAGTGTTGATCAGTCCTAGGACTTTTCTGGTGGAATTCTTGGTATCTCATAGGTATAGTATCATATCATCTGGAAAAAGTGACCTCTTCCTTTACAATTAGTACTCCCTTAATTTATTTCTTTTGTCTTATTGCCCTAGCAAGAGTTTCAAGCACTATGTTGAAAAGGAGTGGAGATAGTGGACATCCTTGTCTGGTTCCTGATTTTAATGGGAATGCTTCCAGTTTTTCTCCATTTAGAATGATGTTGGCTGTGGGTTTGTTGGCTGTGAGATATGTTCCTCCATTCCAATTCCCTCTGGGACTTTGAACATAAATGCATGCTGAATTTTCTCAAAAGCCTTTTCTACATCTATTGAGATGACAATGTGGTTTTTGTCTTTGAGTCCATTTATATGATTAATGACACTCATTGACGTGTATATTAAACCATCCTTGCATCTCTGGAATAAATCCTACTTGATCATGGGGAACGATCTTTTTTATGTACATCTGTATATGGTTTGCAAGTATTTTGTTGAGAATTTTTGGATCTATGTTCATTAAGGATATGGGTCTACAGTTTTCTTTTTTGGTTGTTTGTGTCTTTACATGGTTTGGGTATTAGAGTGATGTTGGCTTCATAAAAGGAATTCGGTCGAAGCTCTAGTGACTTTCACAGTTTGCATTGATAAGTCAGCTGTAATTCTGATGGGCTTTCCTTTGTATGTGACTTGTTTTTCTTTTGCTGCTTTCAGTATTCTCTTTGTTCTGCACATTTAGTGATTTTACTATGATACATAATGGGATGTTTCTTTTCAGATTCTGTCTATTTGGTGTTCTGTGTGCTTCCTGTATTTGTATGGGGATGT